AGCTCAGAGACGGTCTCCTGCCCGGGACCCCAGAACCTGCCCTCCAGTCCTTGCAGCCTAGGCGGCTTCTATTTCCCCCTCAGCAAAGTGACCTGGGACTTGGTAATGACTCTTCAATGTTAAAACTTAACACATGCTCTGCTTAATTCTAATCCGTTCCTAAAAATGCAAAGATTTTAAACAAATACAGCAGTATACTTCTTTACAGCCTCATAATGATTTGTCTGCAGTATTTTTCCCATATGTTGAACAGAAAGTTGCACTGAAACTTTACAAAAAAACATTTAGAAATGCAAATAGCAACAATGTCGAAAGTACAATAAATGCAGCTAAGATGTACCAGCTGAATTTACTTTGAGGCTTTGCTGATGTCAGTACACAAACCGTACTGACATTACGTCCCTTTATCAATTATTTTCTAACTTATGAAACAGAAGAGTCTGTAGTAAAATCTGTCACATGTCTGCGCAGTTTTGTCACTAGGTTTTGCAATCTTAATGTGATGTTACTAAACAATACCTAATTATTGTCATATCTTCTCCATTCTAGGATACCTTGAAAAGCATCTTTGAATACTTCAACAAAAGCATTTTAAGATCCGCTCTATTTCAGAAACATGAGCATATTAGTAATGAAAACAAAGGATGTGTTAGAGTGAAATTACAGGGTATTATTCAGCGTATTACAAACACTACGAGGCTAGGACGATCTATCAGAGCGGTATTTACATGGCGTTTTGGACAGAGACCAGGTTCCCCAGAAGGATTTAAGTCCGTGAAGCTTTGAGGTTCATCTTCTGTTGGGAAGCTGTGGGTGGTCAGCTGGAACATGGAGCCCAGAGAGTGACAGCTGATGTCACAGGTGGCTTTGTTGACATCTCAGGCCTGACGGGGTTATTGGCCCTCCCACCACCGCCACCGTGGCAGGCCCCTCAGGTACCACAGGAGACGAGGAGGAGCAGGGAATTCCACCCAAACTGGACCTCGCCAAGGTGGCTGGCGCTGGCCACCACGCTGAGGCCGACAGGGGCCCGGGGCAGACTCGAGGCCCTTTCCCACCCAGACCCCCCCAGGGGGCGGAGTCCACACAGCTGTGACTGGCCAGCTGGGAGAGTCCCCTGGTCACATCCAGGACCGCACAGCACTAGTCTGGATTTACTACAGTAGGTTTCTTCACCATCATTGCCATCTTTTGGAGCGTGGAGGCCGAGTGACTGGCTTCCCCAGTGGGCAAGCTAGAGGACGCTGAGGGTGTTTTTCTGCGGGGCAGGGAGAGCTGGACCTCCCCGAGGTCCCTTCTCTTCAGGCCTCTCCAAGCTGAGCCCCTTGAGGGCAGAACCATGCCCTGCCTCGTTCCCTCTCAGCCTCCGCAGCAAATGCAGCTCACAAGGAACGCCGCCCTGACAAGAGGGAGCAGGTTTCTCACCTTCCCTGCGAAAGGGTCTCCCGGCCACACCCAGGGCAGACAAGCTGCAGCCCACACCGAAGGAACCCTCTGCCCGCCAGCTCTGACAAGATACCTCCCTCCAACCCAGTTTCCAGGGCGTGCCTATCTTTGGGAAAACATTCTCCTTTTTTGTCATTTCTATGACAGCGGGATACAAGCTACTGCTGGGAACTGGCAGGCGGACGTGGCAGCCAGTGAGAAGCCAGCAGCCAGGCCCCGTCCCCAGAAGCATCTCTGGGACAGAGAGAAAGGGGAGACGCAGCACCATGTGTGCTCATAGCCACAGGTGTCTCTCTATAAACTGGAAGCTCTATCTTTTCTTAAAGCAAAGGGGAAAAGCGGTTTTGAATATGCACGGACCCCTAGTCTTTTTGTGTTTTCTACTCAAGGCTTCGGTTCAGTGTATAAAACAGCCCCCCACTCCCATCCCCACCATGCTGGAGTCCAGCCCCCTCAGTCGGTGGCACTGTCAGCCTCTCACCGCCACCCTTTGCTCTGCATAGAACTGTCATCTCTCATCCCTAGCATCTCCGCCTCAGCCCTGAAGATACAGCTCAGAAAATCCCTCTTCCATGCAGGATCCCAGGTGGGGGTAGTAAGCACACCTCCCGCGGCCTCCCTTCCACTCTGGGGGTGCCCCTACCCAGGGGGTGCCCTGGAGCTGCCTCGCACTGTTCATGTTTCAGGAATGTTAGGAATATGCTCATTATTAAAAATTAAATCCTACCAACTTCTGATTAAATAAACTGTATTAGAAACAAAGGTAACAAACGCCCAGCCCTGACCAGCTCCTAATGGCTTTCTTGTTATCTATGCCCTTGAGGGCACTGGAGCTACAGCACCTGTGGGGGGCACAGGATGGCGTTTGCTGTGCTCTCCGCCCAGATCGGACCTGGCGCCTGGCGTTGGCAGCTGCAAAACGGCCACCTTATGTTCACCATGGAAATGGGCAAATGCCACGAATCAGGGCACCCTTATCATTTGCGGATTGTCTCGATCAGGGGTCAGCAAACATTTTCCATACAGCCATAGAGAAAATACTTTAGGGGTTGGGGGCCACTCGGTCTCTTGCAATCACTCAGCGTTGCTATTGTCTCATGAGAACAATACGCAAGCGACTGAAGGCGAATGGGTGTTCCAACAACGGGAGTTCCTGTCGGCCACAGTGTGCCAGCCCCTGGACTCAACGTAAGGAAGTCATGGAGAAAACCCTCAGCACACACATCAGACTTACAAGGGGGTTGTGTCCGCAGCCATCACACTGTTGCTAGCATAAAGAATCAAGGAAATAGCCCAGCAGCGTCGGTCGCTCTGTCCAGTTCTGCAAAGAAGCATGGCATCACAGAGGGAAGTGTGACGTTCCCACGTGCGCCCTCTCACTTCGGTCTCACGTGTGCTGAATGAAAATGCCCAACACTCACTCTGAACTTGAGGGGCCCCTCAGGGCAGCACCGCCTGCCGGGGGCGGGCTCCACACAACTGAGCAAACGCACCTGTCTGTGATCAACTGGCTTTATGCAATTTCCATGAAAGGATATTAACTATTTTATTAGTATTTTGAATTATGCTCTACACATGCTTCATGGGGGTAACAGTTACAATAAAACTACGATTTCTCCAGAGAGTTGGCCCAAAGGACCATGACCTTGGCTCATGAGAAGACGCCCTGTGGCTAACCCTTTTCCAGGCAGCGCCCTCCAGGCAAAAGAGCGGAATCTGATCTAGCCTTTTACTCCCCGAAAAGCACCTGATACACATCGGACTGGTATTCAGATTGAACAACTAAGTGAACAAATGAATGAGCAAGTGAAGGCCCCTCCCCCGC